GCGGCTCGCCTCCGGAGATTGTGCCTCTTGCGGTGGCTTGACCGGCACCAGAGCTCCTCTTCTCTGTGCTCTGGGGGCCACTTAACATGGCAGCTTAGGGTTTTGGTTTCCTGTTGGTTTTGCCTGGCAGATAGTGTACTGGCCAGCAATGGAGCCCTGAAGGTGAACGAGTACCTCCAGGTGGAGGGCTACAGCCACATCTACGCCATCGGCGACTGTGCTGACGTGAAGGAGCCCAAGATGGCCTATCATGCTGGCCTCCATGCCAACATCGCCGTGGCCAATATCGTCAACTCCATGAAACAGAGGCCCTTCAAGGCCTATAAACCAGGTGAGGGAGTCCCATGTGCTTCACAGTTTTTTTAAAAAAATATTTTTATTGATTTCAGAGAGGAAGGGAGAGGGAGAGATAGAAACATCAACGATGAGAGAGAATCATTGATTGGCTGCCTCCTGCACTCACCCTACCAGGCACTGAGCCCGAAAGCCCAGCAAGTACCCTGACCAGGAATTGAACCGGCAACCTTTCGGTGCACAAGACGACGTCCAACCCCAACGGCCAGGGCTAGGACAAAGTTTTAAAGCCGGAGACAGAAACGCTCCCTAGAACGCTTTAATAATTTGTAATTAATAAATAAATCTGGGACTTGCCCGCCACAGATGGTGAGCAGGACTCTAGTTTGTGCTTCTGCTCCACAGGTGCGCTGACGTTCCTCTTGGCCATGGGGAGAAATGACGGCGTGGGCCAGATCAGCGGCTTCTATGTGGGGCGCTTCATGGTTCGGCTGGCCAAGAGCCGGGACCTGTTCGTCTCCACGAGCTGGAAAACCATGCGGCAGTCTCCACCCTGAGGAGGAGGCTGGGCGGGAGACGAGGTACCACCGACACCTGGGAACGGATTGCCTGACAAGTGGTACCCGCCTGACAGCTGTCGAAGGGCACTCTTTCTGGAGTAAGATGCCACTGATGTACTCACCAGAAACACAACCTACAGAAAAGCAAAAATGGAGAGGAGAGAGAGAGAGAGAGAGAGAGAGAGAGAGAGAGAGAGAGAGAAAGAGAGAGAGACTAAAAAGACACCCCCTAGAGGATTCTTTCTGGGTTTGGCAAGGCCGAATGCTTCACTGGGTCCTGGGAGTGCGAAGCCAGCCTTCTTGGATGTGTGTGCATGTGCGGGCGCTGGGTCTCCTGAGGGCTGGCTTCCTGCCTGCAGGGCAGGAAGGAGGACCTGCCAAGTGAGACCAGTTAAGGAAGGGGGTCTGTACCCGTCTTGCCCGTCATTCAGAGGGTGGGGAAGCCCACACATCCTGCAATACTCCAGTTGTCAGTAGGAGGCTGATTTTAAACGGTTAGTCCCTACAGTCTTTAATCTTAACAAAACTTTCTATATTTCAATTTTTATACCATATATACTATGATTACATATCATAGGTTATATTTAAGAAGAAAGAGATAAAAATTTCCCTGTTGGTTAGTCCATGCTAACAGTGAGTTTTTACGGAGCTCAGGGAAGTTAAGACCGAGACCTGGCCTGCCAGCTGCTGGAGGCGTTTAAGGGGGGGCAGCCGAGCTACGTGACCTTTGGGTGGGTCCCCATCGGTGAACATCCAGGGAGCAGACGAGCCCCGTGTGCTTCCAGGCTGCTGTCCTGGCAAATTTACAAGGGAAAAAACTCCTCTGTGGTTTTGTGCTTCTGGTTTCTTGGCCAACCCGAATGTCACTGACCTGGAGACCCGGCCTTGTAGTGAGGATGCCTGCCAGCAGCTATGTTAAGGCTATACTGACTCCGCCACTTGGGAGAGAACGTCAGTCTGGAGGAGCCTATTTTGGACCCCGCAAGTTCACGCGACAGCAGAAGTGGATGATCAGTTCATCCGAATAAACTCAGGTTCTGGCCCTGCCCAGCCGGCCCCTCCCTGCTTCCCTTTGATGTGGCCCCTGGATACCTGGCCAGAGTCCTTGGACACCAGCCTCACGGGGGCTCCCACTCCACCCCGTCTGGGCTGCGGCCCGGGCTGATGAGACATGTGCCTCTCCCCCAAGCATGGCTTCCCCATTGGGGCATCGCCCAGGGCTGAGTTCCTATGGACCAAGGCCAACGAGGCCCCCCTTCTGGAAGCAGGACCTGATGCCTGAGAAGCAGGCCATTCCGTGCTGTCTGACCTGGGGCCTACCTAGCATGGCGGAGTCAAAGCCCGTTGGAGACAGGCCTCGTTCTGTTTATAACATTCTAGACGTGCCCACACCCATGGGGACAGTTTTCCAAACAGGAAAATGTTGCAATAAAAGAATATGTTGTAAGAAAGACACTGAATCTTTTATTTTTTTTTCCTTTCATTTTCTTTTTCTTTAAAAAACAAAACAAAACAGAAAAAAGCCTGAAGTAAATCCTTTTTAGGAGTAGTTACAGATATAGGGGCGGGCGGGGGCACTAAGAAAGATAAAGCACCAGTGAGATGCCTTTCTAATTTTCTCCTCCATCACGGAGCACAGAGCCTCTGAGCAGAGCCCGGGCCACTTGTACGCCCTCCTCCCTTGCAAAAGGAGAAACAGAAGACAAGAGTTTTGAAAGGATTTTCTTGGTGTGTGTAAAAGTCAATGCTATAAATCTAAAATGAAGTCTGTTTTTTTAAAAAGTTCTAAAACAACAGGAAGAAAACACATGGAAAGGACCCCTTGTGGAGACCTGGTTTTTAGGACTGAGGCTCTTTTTAACGAGAATATAAAACGCAGAGGCTCCTTCCGTGGGCGGGACCTGCTCCCGCAGCCTCTGCCACCCACTTCCCTTCAGCCGCCCAACGCTCCCTTCCTCTCTCCGTTTAAAAAATAAAACCTGCTCCTGCGACCGATCCTCCGGCAGCTCCTGTTGGCAAGTGCAGCCGCGGGGCTACTTGGTGTCGAGCTTGGCCATCTCCTGCACGTAGATGCCGATGCTCTCGCTGTCGAAGAGCAGGAAGTAGACGTTCTTCAGCGAGGACGCGCTCGAGTCGTCAAAGTGGGCCGAGATGGCTTTGAGGGTCACCTGAGCGGCCGTCTGTTTGGGGAAGCAGTTTCTGTGCCGAAGGAAAAGAGCCAGGGTCACGTTGGCCAACAGCTCAGGGCGGGGGCAAAGCGGGCCCTTCTTATCTTGGCCACGGGCCCTGACTGCCATCTCATGGTCTAACCACGTGCAGGCTGGTCCTCGCACCATCTCCTTTGATGCCAGTCAGAGCGACAGCCTGGGCGTGTGTGTGTGTGGGGGGAAGCAGGGGGCCCATATCATCACCTCACAGGTGCCACGCTGACTCGGGCACAGTGGTTTTAGCCAAGATCATAGGGCAAACCAGCAAGCGGTGCCCTGGGCTTGAATACGTAGCCCGACTTAAGTCAAGCTTGGCTTTGAAAACACTACCAATTGAGCATTTCAAACACCTGGTCTTCAAAACAGCACCTAAAGGTTTCATTAGCTCCCTCAAAACCAGTTTACGTGGTAGATTGTTTATTAAAGGGCAAAAATAGATGCTCAAAAGCTTGTGTTCATAGTTCCTTTTCATGCACTTAATGTTCCTCTCATCAACACATAGAGATGTGCGAATGTCATTTCGGCAGCAGTGACTTACAGAAATGGGACCTCTCTTCTTCTAACCCCCCAAAACAAACCCTGGGTGAGAGCTTTTCATTTCTCTGGGTGTGCATGTCACAGCCTTGGCCTCCTGGCCTTCCTCCCATCGCCGTGTCCCCCCGCCCCCCCAAGCAGCACAGGATCCCCGTGAGTAGCAAGGCCTTCAAAGCCTGGTGTTTTCTGCCTCTCGCTTCTCCCCAAAGCTCCTCTCTCTGAGTGTTCTGAAGGATGGAGGCTGGGCTTCTTGCCCTGTTACCTGGTCAGCACGCTTGCTGCGCTGGCAGCCTCTGGTCATGTCTGCAATGGCCAGAGTGGATGTGTAAGTGGCGAGCACTGGCTCCCAGGGAGAAGGCTGGACTCAGAAC